CTAGGAACTCCTGAACCTGTCTCTTTGTGCTTGAAGGTGGAATCTGAAGGATGACTGCAGTCCTACTCTGAGACAGGCTCCTTTTGCTTCCTCTCAGCTTTTCAATTGGTTTTGTTTTTTATGTTTAATACAATTTATGTGTATGGGTGCTTTGTGTAGATATATGTCTGTATACCACATTCATGCAGTGTCCACTGAGGTCAGAAGAGGAAGTCAGATCCGCTGGAACTGGAATTAGATACAGTTATGAGTTACCATATGGGTGCTGAGAATTAAGCCTGATTAGCTGTTAGTTACAAGTTTATTATTATTATTATTATTATTATCTTAGTTTTCTTTACTAGAGAGACATCAGCTTGGCCAGGTATAGAATTAGGGCCCCCAAAACTGATCCAATTGATCTGTCATCCCATATTACTGAGCCCTCCATCGGACTCATCAGTTCCCTTTTGCTAAAGAATTATCTTCCCATAACTGGAGCATGTGTGCCAGAGGCCTATCTGGAAGTTTTTTTTTATTTGTTTTTGTTTTTTGGGTTTTTTTTTTTTTTGGTCTTGGGTCTCTTATATCCCCCCTTGCTGGAAGCCCAGTTTCCCATCCCTATCTTGTGTTCATGATGAATTGATCAGAGGCTTAACCTTCTTCCCCCATTTTCCTATCATGAAAACTCTCTGGAAGTTTCCCAGAGCTTTTCTTGGCTTCTGGTGGGTTGCCGCAAACTCCTGACTAGATAGCTCCAGGACAGAGTCAATGTAGACCACCTTGTGCCATATGAGGGTGTGCTTTAGACCAGCACCCACATAGGTTCCGTATGTTGGTTTCTTGTACTCTGTCTAAATTGCTTTCTCCATCTCCAGCCAGGTCCTTCCTGAGAACCTTGGATTGAGAGTTCACAGGCACTTTTATTTTTAACACATTTCTGAATAATAATCACAAAATCTCTAAGATATCCTGAACACCATTTTTTTCCCCCAAGAGAGGGTTTCTCCATGTTTTTGGAGGCTGTCTTGGAACTAGCTCTTGTAGACCAAGCTGGTCTGTAACTCACAGAGATCAGCCTGCCTCTGCCTCCCAAGTACTGGGATTAAAGGCATGTGCCACCACCGCCCAGCCAGTTCTAAGATTTTAATTTATTTTCTGTTTTATTTTAGTTTTTTTGTTTTAGGGGTTGCCTTCCCAGAAAACCACCATTTATCCTAATGGACCATGGAGGAATGTTAGACGGAGAAACTTCAAATCTTGGTCATCTCTGGAGTTACTCAACAACACCCACCCCCAACTCGACACTGCAGGCTTCTCAGTCCCAAAAGTACTGTGGCTACTACTCTCTGTAGCTGGCTGCTTAAGCTCACCTTGGGCTCTGAGCCACTTTTTTGCTGCTTCACTTTTGATTTGGGGTTTCCATTTCTTTTGGAGCCAGAGAAGACCTCCACATCCAGGGCCCTTCCAACAAGGCTGCGGTGTGCACCTCCTACGATGGGAATCTCTACCCAAGATCCTTGGTCTCAGAGAGAGCTATACATTGTGTACCAAGTTGTAAGAAATAGGTCTGAGGTCTCAAAAAAATGACTGAGCACACTGTAAAAGTTATTTTAGTTAGACAAAAAGTTTTGCTTCTGCAGAAGGGTGCATAGCTGTGTCAAATCAATCAGACAAGTACACCCAGTGGGGGCCCCACAAGGTTTTTATTTCTAAGGGATGAGGGCTCCTGTGGCTCACATTCTTTTTTTAATTTTTTTATTTAATTATTTTTATTAGTTCAAATTAGGAACAAGCTTGTTTCACATATCAATCCCTTCTCCCTCCCCTCACCCTCACCTCTCCTCTCCCCACCTTGACCTACCCCCCACCCCATCCACCCTCCACTCCCCAGGCAGGGTAGGGCCCTCAACAGGGGCTCCCTAAAGTCTGTGGCTCACATTCTTATACAATTTGCAGATTCTAGGGAAAAATGAAACCCAAGCCCATGTTTTTATTTCAAGAAGTGCTGAACCTGAGTGAATTTGAATTTCTGCCAAGCAGCTTCTTCATTAAAAAAAAAAGAAGAAGAAGAAGGTAATGGAGTTTTTCTCTTATTTAAGTCTTTCATAGAAAAGACAGTACATTTCTTTTACATTTTGTACAACCTGTATAAAAAGAAAGATAACATATATTTGAAAGGCCAAGGAGACAGGAGGATCCAGGTACACTGAGTGCAAATGTAATTTGGTATATAACATAGTATAGAAAGTACTGACAAAAAATTACAAATGAACTCACCACATGACCCAGCAATCCTTTAGATTTACACTCAAAGGAAATGAAATCAGAACTCTGAGATGATACCAGCAGTTAATGTTCAGGGCAACATTACTTCTCATAGCCAGATAGGGAATCACACAAATAAATGGATAAGGAAGACAGGTATTAGCTGGGCATGGTGGCTTCTACCTGTAATCTCAGCATTCAGAAACTGAGGCACATCAGGTAGTGGCAGTTAATGCCTTTAGTCCCAGCACTCGGGAGGCAGAGGCAAGGATCTCTGTGAGTTCAAGGCCAGCCTGGTCTATAGAATGAATTTCAGGACAGCCAGAGTTGCTTCACAGTCAAACTTTGTCTCAAAAAAATAAAGGAAAAATAAAAAAGAAAGAAAAGTTGAGGCAAGAAAATCACCATGAGTTCAAGGCCAGCCTGACTATACTGTGAGTTTCTGGTCAGCCTGAGTTATACTGTGAGAACCTGTCTCAAAAATCAATATGGGCCTTGGGGTATAGCTTAGCTGGTAGAATGTTTGCCTAGCATGCAGGATGCCCTAGGTTCAATGTCTGAATCTTATAAAGCCAGGTATAATTAAATACAATTAATACGCCTAAAACTGTGTTTATAAATGTGCTAAATATAAATATAACTTATTTACAAAACAAGATTGAGCGAGAAACCAATTTATATCTCCAATTATACAGCCTTTTGTATATGTTGTCAAAGGTAAACCTAAACAAAGTAAATCAAAATAAACTTGAAAAAAAAGATTAACATTTGCTAATATAAAATAATATTTAAGCCAGGCACTGGTTATACATGCCTTTAATCCCAGCACTTGAGAGGTAGAGGCAGGCAGATCTCTATGAATTCAAGGCCAGGACAGCCAGAGCTATACAGGGAAACCTTGTTCCAAAAAAACCAAAACAAACAACAAAAAAGAATCACCATATGATCCAACACTTGTACTTATTTATATTTCTAGTTATATAATAAGATAATTAAAAATATATGTTCAGGACACACAGAAGCCTGGGGTCTGGGCCAAAACTTGTGGTCTTGTTTGTGTCCAAGGGCCATGCTGCCGCTGGAGCCATGCTGGTATGAGTGGCCTGTGCCATGGGCCATGGTGTCCTCTGGGCCCGGGGCTGCTGCTGAGGGCCATGTCTGGGAACGTGGCCCTACAGCAGCCAGGGTCTGAGTCAACATCTGTGGTTCCTGTTGCCATGGAGGGCCATGCAGATGCCTAGACTCTGATCGGCAGCTTGGAACCATGTTGGTACCCAAGGGCCATACTGCAGCAGAGGCCATACAGATTTGAGTAGCATATACTACTACCCAGTATCATGTTGACTTCTGGACCAGGACTGCACCTAGGGGCTGTGTCTGGGTCTATGGCCCTATTGCAGCCAGGGGCTGTGTTGATGTCCATGGCTCCCGTTGCCATCGAGGGCCATGTGGATTCCTGGTGTCTGGGTCACCACCTAGGGCCGTGTTGGTACCTGAGAGCCATGCTGCCACTGTGGCCATGTTGATCTGGTTGGCTTGTAGTTCTACACGGAGCCAGGATGTTGTCCGGCTGGAGCTGCTGCTGGGGGGAGAGGGTGCAGGAATGTCTGTCTCCATGGGTCAGCAGCAGCTATGGTCTGTGTTAATGTCTGTGGCCTGTGTCACCTCAAAAGGCCAAAGGAACTATTTCGTGATGAAATCAGGGGGCCAACCTGAGTGGCCCTGCCCTTTGCTGGCCCTGCCCCTCACTGGACACTGCAACAACAGAGCTGGCCCTAACCTTCATGGGAAAGCTGGACTCTGCACTTGGGAGAGATACCCCACTCCTCACCCCGGGTGAGGGAAAACTGGCCCTGATGGTATGGGCATAGAGGAGATGGTTCTGCCTCCTCGACTAAAGAGGGGCCCCAGTGGCCTGGACTGACCAGATCAGCTACCACTCAGGCCCACAGTGGGGCCATGTGTTAGTCCATCTACCCAATCTAGGACCTGCTGGAGCTGGTAAGGGACTGGTCCTGTGGAACAATATCCTCAAGAGCTCCATGACTCAGGGCAGCCATGGGTTATCAGTTACCGGTTATTTTGGTGAGGATCCAGTGATGATGGTGAACCAGAATCCAGAAGCCTTAGACCAGACCAATGACTCACTGCAATGAACATTTGCTAGTAAATCTGATTGGACAAAATGGTATTCTATGTGACACTACAACGGCTTCCAATGTCTCAAGGATGAATGAAGGAAAGAAGGAGGATTGAAGTGTTTTTTTGTTTGTTTGTTTGCTTGCTTGCTTGCTTGCTTGCTTGTTTTGTTGTGATTTTTTAAAAAATATCCTTGGGGTAGGTGCCTCAGGGATGAGGGGAGGATATGGGGGGACTTGGAAGTGAGTCGAATTAGGGTATATGATGTGAGATTTCCAAAGAATCAATAAAGAAACTATGGTGTGTGTGTGTGTGTGTGTGTGTGTGTGTGTGTGCATGTAAATACTTGTGCACTGATTTGCAGAATGGGAATGTCTCAGAAGGGCACACATGAAGGCAGATGTGTACCAATAGCAGACAAAATCAGCTAGAGAGCCACCTCATGTGCTCTGACAGCAGCACCAGCGTCATACAGAAACTTCAGCCTCTCAATTAACCTCTGTCATCCAAGATTTGCGCTCATAGGGGGTGCTGAATCTTGAACCCCAGGAAGAAGACCCTCCAGGACTCCCCGTGAAGGAAGACTGTCAGAGTTTGCTCTACCTCTTGTGAGGTTCACCACAAGTTTTGCTCAAGAAGTAGATCATTTCTTCTTTAAAAAATAAAAATGTGTATCCATCTAGCTAGCATCTAATGGATATTTAGTGAATTCCACAAGTAACCTGTAGTGGCTACAAACATAAAGGGAAATAAAATTTTATAAAGGAAAAAAACAAAAGAAAACCTGTTGCTTATGGTGGCTGCATGGCCAAGGGAAGAAAAGAGGAATTCTGAACTTTAATTACTGAGCAAATACCACATGTAAGGAGCAAGCACTTTGCTCCTCCAGATTCCTTACCATTATGTAAACAAACCACTAGAAAATACAAATGGGAAGCTAAAATCAAAGTACAATATGTATCATTTTAATGCTAACACATGATAAATTGTGCTCATGTATCCATCCTATTGATGCAGGGTTTTGAGACCAATGAGATCTTTTTACAGCCCACTTGTGCATGCCACAAAGACCTAAGATGTCAGCCACTCGCATTCATCAGACTGTCCTGAGACAGTAGCTCTGAGCTCACTGTTGTACCACTACAATTAATAAGGTGGACTTTTGTGGGAGCATGCAGAGTGACAGGAAGGATTTATTTATTTGTTTGTTAGTTTTGTTTTGGCTTTGTTTTATTTGGAGCCAGGGTTCTCTGTGTAGCCTTGACTGTCCTGAAACTTGCTTTGTAGAACAGGCTGGCCTCAGATTCTCAGAGAATGCCTGCCTCTGCCTCTGCCTCCTGAGTGCTGGGATTAAAGGTGTGCTCAACCTCGACTGATGCAAGTAGGATTTATTAAGAATTATAGAAAAGTGAGAAGTTGAGGGAAAGTGAGTGGCACTCTAGAATTGTGAAGGATTTCCAAAGGAAGAAAGAGCCATTGAAATTCCAACAAAGACTGAGGTACTCTCTATTGAGACTGGTTAATTCTCTGGGCTGTCATGGGTTGAGCCAATAAAGGATCCACATGCCTATGTCCCTGGATCAGTCAGAGACAGATCATTTGATGTTTGTGTCCTGCTCACTCAGTTAGGGCTGTTGAAGACTGCCAACCCTGGCCCTCTCTGAGTCTGGCTTAGTTGTTAGTCACTTGACCAACATTACTATCTTGTGACTTTACAGGTGTCTTGCTGTTAATTATACTAAGCTCTCTGGCTCTGGCTGTGTTAGTTGTCCTTGAGTGTCTGCCATTAAACTTTCTTGGTTCTCACAGTTGCCAAAAAGCAGCTGCAGTGTTCTTGGTTATCTCTTGAGCTACAGGATGGTCCGGCGTCCTCTTTCCTGAAATGGTGGTGGTGGGGTCATTAGAAGCCATCCTTACCACTTAGTCTGTTATAATCAGTTAGAGATGATGAATTAAAAGCAGTAATATAATACACCAACAGTGCCTAGCATGTGCTTCCCAGGGGGAAAGTCTCTAAAAAGCTGGTCAGCCTTTGTCACTGACTTTGCTTCTTAGAGCCCCTTTGTCTCTTCTCAGGCCTGCTCAGCAATCTCATGTCCAGCTTTAAATGTCTTTGTCTCTTCTTGATGCTTCTGGATTCTTTCTATTGCCTTTTAACCTTTAATACCCATTCCTTCTGTAGCATACAGAATAACTTGTAGTTTTCACCATAGCCTCATTTCCTTACTATCTACCATGAACTAACTCTTCTCAACAGGTAACTCAATTTTTAGAAAATTACTCCAGGGCAGACTCCAAAGCTACTGAGAAACCCTGTCTCGAAAAACAAAACAAAACAAAAGTTATATGATTGCATGCAACTGGAAACTTACATTTTGCATACTAAATTATATAATAAAGAATTTGTGAAGCTTCAAGATTTTGAAAAAAGGTAACAAGTTTTCTAAATGTATAACATACATGAAATACAGCTTAATGTTAGTAATTGCTCAACTGTTCCCGGACAGACATTCATCAGGTTACCCATGCTGGGGTCCCCATTATAGTTATACATTGCTTTCTACACATTTAATATTTGTGTTGCCTTGAATCGTAAAGAATAGGCTTGCTCTGTTCACTGCCTCTTCCGCAGCTTTCCTGTTGCAGCTTGCTACACCTTTGAAGGGACAAAACACACTTTCTGCAGACCACTAATTCTTCTCTCTTACTCTCTGCTCTGCTCTGTTCTTCCATTTCTCTCTGGCTCTCTCACCCGGTAATAAAACTCTGTGGTTAATGTACTCCATAGTTCGTGTTCCATCACGTCAGTTTCCATCTCTCAGTTTCTTTTCTCTATTTTTCTAATTTTTAAACTTTTACAAAAGAACAACAGTATGGTCAACAGCTTTAAATGGTCTCTTTCTCTCCATATATACACACATTAAAAAAAAGAAAAAAAATCAGGGTCTTTCTATGGAGCCCACACTGACCAGAGAATCACAATGTAGCCAAAGATGGCCTTGAATTTGCCATCATCCTTCTGTTTTCGTCACCTGAATGCTAGGATTACAAGCATAAGCTGCCATGCCTGCCTCTAAATGGTGTTTCCCTTTCTTTCTCTAAACTCACAGGTATGGCATTTTAATAATGGCATCCCCTTTCAAAGAGATTCTCCTCACCAACTAAGCATATAGAAGGAATGCCCCTGGAGACTGCTGGAGAGGTTGGCCTGCTACAGAAATGGAAAACGCCTGTCCAGCGCCCCTAGGCTCTGCAGTGTGCCAGGACAACTTACAAACAATGCTGCCCTCCTTGCTCTGGTTGGTCTGCTTCAAACAAGGGTGCAAGCTCTTAGGGCACTTTATGGGTTGGTGGGGTGGAGAGGATAGTGGCTGACTGACATCAAAGAGAGAGGCTACCACTCATAAAACCTGGTCAGCTGGAATCCCAGGAATGTGGTAGATAACCATCTAAAGGCAGAGGCGAAACTTTAATTCACAGAGAAACACAAGTCAAAAGGGAGGCAGTGGGGTCCATTATTCTGCTTTCAGGAAGCACCTATGAAGGCTGTGGCCCTACTTAGAAACACAGCCAGGAAAGTCAACTTCAGACGTTAAACAAGGAAAAAAAAAAAAATCAAAGAACCAACTGCAGCTTAAAGCAGTTTACTACTCCACAGTGAAGAAACAGAACTTTGAACCTTCAGTACTGAGTAAACACTAGGTCTAGCAAACAATACCATCCCTGGGTTACTTATTAATTTATTAACAAAGCACTTTAAAAAAAAAAATCAGAGGGCACGGTTTTGTTTTCTTTTGTTTCTTTTAGGCCATGCTGGGAGTTGTGAATGCTAGGAAAGGCTCTCCCACCTGGCTTCATCCCCAGTCCTGATTAGGTTTTCTGTGTGTATCTTTACAATGTACATTAGAACTGAAATAACAATTGTGAAACTGTTCCAATTGACAAAAGTCACAGGATTAATCATATCTTCGTTCAAATTATAGTTGTCCCTGGATACTCCTCAAATATATAACTATTTGATTTCTCCTACCTTTAAGTGGGAACTAAGCATAATATGCAGGATAGGGGATGTACTTGAAATGCTGACCTTTAGCTCTTTGCTTGACTGAATTTTTCAAAGTTTTAACATTAATACAGTAAAATGTTTATATGGTACATTAATGTTCTCACGTGAATAATAAAAGTTGGTACAAGTCTTTGGCACTGACAAAGTGGCTCAATAAAATGATGATCCAGGCCAGGCATGTGGCTCACACCTTTAATCCCAACATTTGTGAGGCCCAAAGCAAATCTCTGTGAGTTTGAGGCCTGTCTAGTCCTACACAGCAAGTTCCTGGCCAGTCGGGGATACACAGTAAGACGATGTCTAAAAAGAAAAGGCATAATATAGTTAAAGTGGGGTTTGTAGGGATTAAAGTTATTACATAAAACTTAAGTGATAAAGGGGTGATTGTCTCACTTTCCGTTTTGAAAAACCAATGTATCTGTTCTTCAACCTGAAGTCCAACCATACATTTCCCTACAGCTGTAAAATGAAGGACAACTCTATTACAACTTTAAGGCTGTGTGTTGGCTGTTGGAAAGGTTGTCCTTGATAGATGGGACCACGACAAATGCCTACTCACCCTCAGATAATTATCCGAGACAAAGTAAAGATACCACCAAAGTCCTACTTGCTGAAGCAAAGTGTTTTAGTAGAGAGTATGGGTGAGGGGTTACTTTCAGGAGTATAGGTGAGGGGTTACCTACAGGAGTGTAGGTGAGGGGTTACTTACAGGGGTGTGAGTGAGTGGTTACTTATATGAGTGTGGGTGACAGGTTCCTTTCAGGGGTGTGGGTGAGGGGTTCCTTACAGAAGTATGGGCAAGAGGCTATTTACAGGAGTGTGGGTGAGGCGTTACTCACAGGAGCAGCAATGGCTCAAACACAGCTGCATCACCAAAGCTCACCCCAGCATGGATGACAGCTCATGAAAGCTGGACTGCTCGGGCTCACTGCACCACATGCAAGCTGCTTGACTGGCAAAAAAAAGTCAGAAAAGACTGGCTGCTCTCTGCCTCTTCCAGGCAGCTTGCCTGGGCCAAGAGTGTCGCTCAGCAATCTTATTGCGTATATAAGCTTGAGGAAAAGGGGACCTGGTGCATTGGGTTAGTTTTTTGTTGTTTTTCTGACAAAGGGTTTCTCTGTGTAACAGTTCTGTCTGTCCTGGAACTCACTCTGTAGACCAGGTTGGCCTCAAACTCACAGAGATCCACCTGCCTCTGCCTCCCAAGTACTGGGATTAAAGGTGTGTGCCACCACCACCTGGCACTTTCTTGTTTTCTAAGGCAGGGTCTTACGAATCCCAGGCTGTCCTTGCACTGCCTATGTATGCAGCCAAGAATGAGTATGAACTTCTGATCATCCTGCTTCCCCCTTCTCAGTGCTGGAAATAGAGGCACACACCACTCCACCCAGTTTATGCATGGTTGGGGCATGGAACCTGGGGCTGTGTGCATGCTAGCTAGCACTCTACCAACCAAGCTATGTGCCTAGCCCTCAAATGCATTATTTCTGTTTAGTCCCAGGTGTAGAGATGACAGAACAACCGCCTAGGCTAGAGAAAGAGGCTCAAGCAGAAACCCTGATGCTAATGACAAATACAGGAGGGGTGCCCAGTGAGGTCTTGAACACCATGGTGGTAAAACCTTAAGCCTCCTCTGGCAAAGAGCCTGCAACAGAATGTGTTGACAGCCTAGATGACCAGAGGCAGCAGAAAACTGTCCCCCATCGAAGGTTCGAGCTTCTAGTTGGCAGCCACAGATCAAAGGACTCATCCCTTCCCCCACAACTGGATTCTGCAATCCAGACTAGGAACAGATGTGAAAGGACAGCTCTCACCTTCCACCTCTTCCCCTACTTCATTCTGTTGGAACAAAGAGGAGGGGGTGGGGGAGGAGAGGGACATGCACTCCCCTAGATTGAAAACCCTCCCTGGCTTTTTACTTCTTGGGCTGAGTT